GAGACGCGGGCCGGCGGTACGGCGACTGCCTGCGGCCACCCTTCCCACCCCGCGGCCACCCGCGGCCCAGCTGAACCCAAGATGCGCCTGAGCAGACGGCCCGGACCTCCTCCCGACCTCCCCGCTTGCCACGTGGCTTCCAGCGAGGCAGCACCGTGCTCTCGCGCCCTGCGGTTTAGTCCTCCCGGCCGCACTGAGGTCTGGGCCAGCTCGCGACGCCCCAGCTCGGCTAGACGAGGGCAGCCCCCAGCCAACCTTTGCCTTCTCTCTGCGAGGAGACAAGGACGGAGGCTCCAGACCTCCCTTTGCCCAGTCTCCTTGCCCCCGGCCGAGTCCCACTGGCGCTGTCCCTGCCAGACAGGAGGTCCCGTCGGGGAGCGAGGGGGGCATCTCTTTGCCTCCGACGCCTCGTGGTCCTCAGCGCAGCAGTGGTCCCTGCTCAGGCAGCGGTGGCAGGAAGGCACGATGAGCCGGGGGGGCCTCTTACCACCTCATTAATAGGTGGCAGGAAGGGATGGGGAGGGGGTTTTACCAGGGAACGGTGTCACCTGGGAAGGGCAGGGGGGACAAGGTCCTCTTCCAGGTGTTGGACTCTCCTCCCAGTGCCCTCCACCCCAGCCCTCCCAGGAGGTCTGCGTTCCCCGTTTCAGATGCTCCTCTCCACCTCTCCTCGGGAAGTCCTCCCTTGACGTGGTATCGGCACTCGGAGGGCTCTCGGAAACGCCAGCTAAGCCCAAACGTGGATCTCCGATTCCTACTTGGGTCCCGGCTGTCTCTGCCCGGTGGAGCAGCCTCCCTGGGGCAAGGCAGCGCTGCCTTTCCTTACCTTGACAGAGAAGGCAAGAGCCACGAATCCGAGACAACAGAAGTTCATGTAGATGGTGTTGAAGACGGACCAGATGAGGTGGTCACGGGGCACCACGGAGGAGCCGATGGTGATGACGGTGGGAGAAGGGTCCCGCTTGTGGGACGTCACGGGCAGGTAGTCCTCACGTGGGTAGGAAGTGTCCATGGCCGTACGGAGGAGCAATCCTCAGCTCTTCTGCTCTAGCACTGGCTGGGGGAGCAGGGCACAACAGCCCCCTTATATAGGCCTTGCCTCCCGCCCAGCCTCATCTTCTCTATATATAAACCAGAGAAATTACAGCCCTCCTTGGACTGTGGTCGTCAGAAAGGCTTGGCTGGGAGCGAGGAGAAACACAACTTGGTTTTGCAAGCCTGCCTTCCCCCGGCCAGGGCGGTCAGGCGGATCTGCGTGCGCGGCACCTGGGGTCCCGGGCGCTCGGGGCTGCTAAGGGCTCTTAAAAGCGCTGTGCACGTTTTTTAGCGTTAAGTTAGTTCTGAAGATGTGCGGAGGCGCCGGGCCGGGTCAGCGGTCTGGATCAGGGGGTCTCGGGACAAGCTGGCTTGGAGATGTGGTGGCTGCTAAGGGCTCTTAAAAGCGCTGTGCACGTTTTTTAGCGTTAAGTTAGTTCTGAAGATGTGCGGAGGCGCCGGGCCGGGTCAGCGGTCTGGATCAGGGGGTCTCGGGACAAGCTGGCTTGGAGATGTGGTGGTCCTGCCTTGGTGGGGATCGGGATAGGCTGGGTTAGGGGGATTGGATCAGAGGGGTCTGGTTGGGTTGAGGTTGGGGGACTGGATCGGGGGGGTCCTGGGTTGGTTGGGCTCGAGGGGACTGAATTGGGAGGGAGGGAGGTCCCAGTCGCATGGGGCTGGGGTACTCAAGTGGGGAGTCCTACTGGGGGTGGGTCCTGGGGGACCAGATCAGGGAGTCCCAGTCTGGGTGGGTTTGGGGGCCAGATCAGGGTTCCCCATAAGCCTGGCTCTGGGGGCCGGCTTGGGGAGTCCTGACC